CTGTCTTAAACCCCACGAACTAGCAAAAAACCAGTCGGAGACCCATTAACAGAAACCGAAAAACTCATCGATGAAATGCAGGACTCGATCCACGTCCTCCATCTCAGCCCAAAACCTAGCCTCTCCAACGTATAGAGTAAGAAGCTCCAACTGACATGATCATAAGCTTTCTCAATATTAAGCTTACAAAGAACTTCTGGAATCCCATTACTCATCGTAGAATCCACGCACTCACTAGCAATAAGAGTTGAATCCAAGTTCTGCCGACTACCGATAAGGGCATTCTGGGACTCTGAAATCACCCCGTCCATGACATCCCTCAATCCAAAGAAAAGACTTAGAACATACACCCAACCAAACTAATAGGTCTAAAGTCCTTAATATTAGAAGCTCCACCCTTCTTAGGGATGAGAGAAATAAAAGTTGCATTCAAAGATTTCTCAAACCGCCGATGAGATTAGAAATCATGAAAGGTGCCCATCACCTCCCCCCTAACCACTCCCCAACTCTCTAAAAGGAACCTCATAGTGAAACCATCTGGGCGTAGGGCTTTGTTGCCATTGCAACTCTTCAGAGCCTTCAACACTTCCTCTTCAGAAAACGGAACTTTTAACCCATCCTTGTCAATATTTGAAATTGAATCAAAATGCAGACCGCCAGTCGGGGTCTCCAATAGTATGTCCCAAAGTAATGTCTTAGGTAGTAAGAAGCAACCTCCCTACACCTCCTCCTCTTTACATAGCTCCACCCCATCAACACAGATCCACCAGCCCCTCCTGTGAGCATTAGCAAGCCTATGGAAAAACCTCGTGTTGCGGTCACTCTCTTTGAGCTATAGGTCTCGAGACTTTTTGACACCACGATATCTTCTCCAAAATAGCAATCTGAGCAATCTCCGCCTGACACACTGCTCTCTGGTGCCTCTGGGCCTCCTCAATGCCAGCGAATCCCTCCAACCGATCAATCTGTGCAATCTCATAAAGAGCCCTGTTCTTTTTCCACTCTAGATTCTCGACACCTCCTTATTCCACCTTTTAATCTTAGCCTTCAAAAACCGAAGCTTCCTTGCCAAAACAATGCTAGAAGTGCCAGACACCGTAGCCTCCTCCCACCAAGACTGTACCCTCCCCTGGGAGTCCTCTGCTCTAAGCCGCATATTCTTGAAGCGAAAAGGAGTGCTCTGAGATCTCAAACCACCACAATCAAGGACCAACGGAATATGGTTTGAAGTCGGTCTAGCCAAAACCTCCTGAACCACATCTGGGAACCCTGCTCCCATTCCCCAAAAACCAAAAATCTATCCAACCGTGAGAGGGTGGCTGCCTCCCTACCCCTAGACCAAGTGAAAGCTGCACCCTCCAATGGCAAATCAATCAAATGATGTCCGTCAATGAAATCAGAAAACTGCACCATAGCCGAAGTCCATCTCCCACCTATAGATCTCTCCATCGGTGTCGAACAACATTAAAGTCCGCACCCACAAACCATGGAAGAGACCACATCTCAGTCACACAACTGAGCTCCTCCCAAAGAAAGTGTCTCCCCATCATCCATAGATTCATAAACTTCAGGAAAAGCCCATCTAAAACCATTCTCCTCCATAACAAAAGCACATGAAATAGAGAACCTCCCTCTCCAAATATCCACCCTCGACCCATCTCCTATCCCACATGACGAGGATACCCCCAGAAGTTCCCACGGCATCCAACACTTCCCTCTCAATGAATCTCCCAACCCAAAGACTCCTCACCACCCTATCCGAAATAGAATCAAACTTCATCTTTTGCAAACAGACCACATGAGCCCCCCCCCACTTCCTCACTGCCAACTTCACCACCTTCTCCTTATCCGGATCATTGAGACCACGAACGTTCCATGATATGATTCGGCACTTCATAAAGAAACAATATTAGTACCCTCTCCCTTACTTCTCCCTCAACCCCTTTCACTCCCCCTTTCCCTCACCAACTCATCCTTCCCCTCGTAATTAAACATAGGAGATAAGATTCCTAACCTCTGTCTCCCCTCTCCAAGAAGAAGAATTCTTCTTTCGTCGACCCCTCCCTTTAGACTTCTTTTTCAAACCCACCTTCCTTTCCTCAATTGTCGCCTGTAGAATAGCCAGAGCCTGCTCATTATTACTTCAGCAGAAACACCCAACAGATTGCTTGTCACACCAATGTTCTCCAACACCCACTCCTTGCCTTGGTCGACAATACCCTGGTCAGATGAACCCATCCCCATCCCTTCCTGTCGCATCACAGCCAAAGGGTCCACCATGCCCAAATCTGGACAATCCACCGCTTCCCACAGTAATAAATCAAGAGGCCAGTCCCTCTGGTTTTCAATCTCGCTATCCTCACAGCATCCCGCCCCCTGTTTAGAATCTGCACAGATCAACCAGTCTATGGAACTGCCCCTCACCCCCGCCAACCTGTCATCCTGGGTGTCCGAGCAGTACAAGGCAAGTCCTCAGCCAACAATATGGGTTTCTTCAATTCCTGAACCAATAAGGCTGCAGAATCATCACTAAGAGTGATGCGAATTTCTCTGCCCACACGACAATCGTCTTTGCTTTACACCCACCGTCTCTAACAGATGAAGGCATCAGAGCAATCAACTCTGGCTTTGTGTCAGACCTGATCAGATGTCAAGCAAGCAAGGTGAGGGACTTCCACCCTCTCGATCTTGTGGTTCAAATGAACGACCCAATCCCCCACTCGAAGAAGATGGAGCAGAGTAGGAGAAGTCAACGGACTTACTTGCATCGGAGAGGCCACCATCAATCGCTTGCCACTTTTGCTTCTCTGCTCGTGACCACTTGTGACAACGAGGCTTGCCTCGAATCTGGGCTTTATTATTGTGATCCACTACTGAGCAAAAATTGTTCTTAAGATGCAGCAATACGAATCAGTTGAAACTAGAGAGCAACAGTAAGAGTGATGCGAATTTCTCTGCCCACACAGACAATCGTCTTTGCTTTACACCTGCCGTCTCTAACAGCTGAAGTCATCGGAGCAATCAACTCTGGCTTTCTGTCAGACCTGATCGGATGTCAAGCAAGCAAGGTGAGGGACTACCACCCTCTCGATCTTGTGGTTCAAATGAACGACCCAATCGCCCACTCGAAGAAGATGGAGCAGAGTAGGAGAAGTCAACGGACTTACTTGCATCGGAGAGGCCACCATCAATCGCTTGCCACTTTTGCTTCTCTGCTCATGACCACTTGTGACAACGAGGCTTGCCTCGAATCTGGGCTTTATTATTGTGATCCACTACTGAGCAAAAATTGTTCTTAAGATGCAGCAATATGAATCAGTTGAAACTAGAGAGCAACAGTAAGAGTGATGCGAATTTCTCTGCCCACACAGACAATCGTCTTTGCTTTACACCTGCCGTCTCTAACAGCTGAAGTCATCGGAGCAATCAACTCTGGCTTTCTGTCAGACCTGATCAGATGTCAAGCAAGCAAGGTGAGGGACTACCACCCTCTCGATCTTGTGGTTCAAATGAACGACCCAATCCCCCACTCGAAGAAGATGGAGCAGAGTAGGAGAAGTCAACGGACTTACTTGCATCGGAGAGGCCATCAATCACTTGCCACTTTTGCTTCTCTGCTCGTGACCACTTGTGACAGCGAGGCTTGCCTCGAATCTGGGCTTTATTATTGTGATCCACTACTGGGGAAAAATTGTTTTTAAGATGCAGCAATATGAATCAGTTAAAACTAGAGAGCAACAGTAAATAAACCCCCACAACCACGCATGAACACACAATTTTTACATGGAAATTGCAACGGGAAAAAACGACAAGATCTAGTCCAGGCAGATTGAAGCCACTATAAGAAAGAGATTTTACAAATAGGTTAACAATTCTCAACCCGTAGATACCCCTATTATCTCTTGACACAAACTAATCTACCAAACTCTCCACTCGAGTCTCCGGTCACACAAGCCTCTCTGTCAACAGACCCCTCCCCACGCGACTCGTTTATCCACTCTGTGATTTGATCTCCAATAACTAGTTGTCCAAGTTACGTGTTTGTGGTGTTGAGTTCTTCGTGTAGCACTCGGAAATCCTCCGTTTAATACAAGGATTATGATTATCAACACAAATAATAACTCACCATCTAATGCAAGATGTAGATGATGAAAAATAAAATATACTTTCTAAAAATATACGACCTCTCTGAATTGAAGATCTCTTTGTATATATGTGTTATGAGAGCCTAGAAGTGTTTATATAGTGCTTTGAGTCTAAAGGAATTGAGGTTTCTTGATTGTTATCAGAATAGGAAATCTAAACCTCCTAGGATTCAGATTAATGGAGCTTTCAAAAGTATTCCACATCGATCGATCGAGCCTTTGATTGAACCACAATTGCACTGCTTCAATTTATCGAGCCATCAATCAAAGCTTTTTGGAATTTGATAAACATATTCTGGAAATTTTCGATTGACATATCACTCGAGACTTACTGTTTTATTTAAATTCCTGTTTAAATATATATAATTTAAAAACAATTTCATTTATTCAAAACATCTTTTTCATTAATCAAAACATGAATGCATTTTGACCTAAAATGAGTCATTATAAGAATTCATGATTATGAATCTTAATTGGCGAGTTGTTCATGAAGTGATTTTACCATTTTGCTCTTTGATGTATCTTCGATATGATTTTGCCCTCGGGACATTGGTACCACCACTAAGTAACTAACAAAACTAACTTTTGAAATCAAACCAGAAGTTACTGACTCTAGCTTTTGTTACAAAATTTGCCAACGCTAAGTTCTGCATCTATGAACTCATTTCTACATCTATAGTCAAATTTTCTCTCAAGCTATTTTTAACATCTATGACATGCATTTAAAATTTAATTTTGAGTGGCATTGTAATGGTGATACTTTTCAAATTCAGTGAATTTCTCGACAAATCATTTTCTAGTTGTGCTTGATGGTACTATTATTTCTACTAATGACCACAATATTTACTCTTTCAGGTTTGACAATTCAAGCTAATATGTATTATAAAACGCTCATCAGCTGGACCAGCCAAAAGGTGAAGGATATGTATACTACCCGCAATGCATTCGATTTTAAAAATGGTAATCTCTAGTGTCTGGTCATTGAAGGGATGGAAGCAAATTTTCCTTGGTCACCAAATTGTGAAATTTAACTTAGACAATAAAATCTTTCAAGTACTCGAATGGTTCGTAATTGGCAAACATATAATTTAGTATTCTTTTTTTTCCTGGCAAGGAACTCACACGCCCACATGCCCCTATGGGGACTTGAACCTTGACCTTCCACTTCGAAGGCGAGGAAGTACCACTGGACTATAGCCCTTGGTCATATAATTTAATATTCAACTGCATTAGACATTATAACAAAATTCCAACTATGTTGCTTATGCTTCTTCGTGGATCCCATTTGCGCGATAACCTGTTAAAGTGTTAAGAAGCACATTTACTATGGTGCCTTAACTATGTTAGAAACATGAGGTTGAACCCCCCTCCGGTGCCTTTTTTTTATTTTTGCTCTTTACTAATACGTTTACTTATAGATAGTATCATATTGTGTTTGGCTGTTTATACTTGAATTATTTTATGAGGACTTTTGGGAAGAGAGTAGAAGTTTTTATGGGGAGGGCGGGCCGTGGCGCAGCAGTAAGGTTGCTCTATTGTGACCTGGTGGTCACAGGTTTGAAACAAGGAAACAGTCTCTTCGCAAGTGGAGGTAAGGCTGCATACATCTAACCCTCCCTAGACCCCACAATGGTGGGAGCCTCATGCATTGGGCTAGCCCTTAATAGAAGTTTTTATTGGACTATAGGGTAAAGAAAGTGGGATGAGGCATCCTTCAAAAAAGACTAAAAATCTCTGGAACAATTACAACATAAAGAGCATAGTCCCCTGGGCAAAACTCCTCTCAACAATATATTTTGTTATGAGCCCTTTTGACCTTTTCTTTGTACTAATTGTCAAAAACAGGTGAAACTTTATCCTTGTTTTATAAATTCCTTTATCCACCCAAGACCTGTCCTTACTAAGTTTGTGGTATCTCCCATATACCATGTAATGCTTCCTCTCTAGACTACGAGACAGCTTTTGAGTTGGAAGCTTCTCTTCAAGTTCTCTTGGGACACATCTGCAACTGTACTTGATAGAACCGTTGGGCATCAGTTGCCATGATGACAGTTTGAATACAAGAAAATGTCTGTGTCTTATGTATCAATATTTTTAGCTGTCCAGCAAAATAAATGTCCATTTTAAAAATAATAACCTAGTAATTTCATTTTGTTTCTATGAATAGAGCGGAATGTAAAAATAGGATTCATGCAGGTGATCCCAAGTAATTGGTAAAAAGGCTTGAGTTGACTCTCATCTCTTTAAAAGAAATGATATGGTGTTGTCAATTAATTAGTATTTACAGTATTAAATATTGTTGTATTGACCAAAATTGATAATGCCTAACCCAACTGATACTGAGCTAATACTGGAATGGATACAGGTACTGTTTAAATGACTTATCACTTATCATGTTTTGATTGTTTAGTTTGCAGTTTTGACCGTTCTCTGGTAAATGCTTTTGGACCTTGTGTTCTCTTCGCCACACCAGGGATGATCAGCGGCGGCTTTTCACTTGAGGTTTTCAAGCAGTGGGCTCCATCTGAAATGAATCTTGTTACACTGCCTGGGTACCTTCATTATTCCATTGCTCATTCATTAAGTATGTAGTATAAATTTAAGTCTGAACTAACCTGTCTGATCCTGGAAAATGGTCTACCTTACTCATATGATGGCAAAGTGCCGGATAGAGAGGAATCCAAGCCAGTAATTGTTGTGGTTTACTTACTGTCCCAAATAATGTTACCATGGGCTTGGGGCCTATATATCAATATTAAGATGACAATTTGCAACTCTGTTTCTTTAATCCCTCGCGTGTTTCTTTGCCAGATATTGTGTGGCTGGAACTATAGGACACAAATTGATGTCTGGTAAACCCTCCAAAATTGATGTGGATGGCAGTCAAATTGATGTGCGATGCCAGGTTATTTTTCATCTCCTACTCCTTCGAAATGATTTTTTTAGCATATGCTCTTGTTTCTTACTCATATATAATTTTATTTAATATATATATTCTGTTTTGTTTTCCTGGATTTACATGAATTACACCTTCTTGTGGAAATGTTTATTCAATTGAGTATATGTCATTTTTTCTTGTGATTGCATGAGGCAAAAAAAATCATAACTTTGTTATATGAAAGGTTTGAAATTATTATTTAATGGGGAGGATTGGAACCATGAACCTGGATTCACGTCTTTGGAAATTGTTGTTATAAGAAATTGAATGAGAACTAAATAAAGTTCTACATCAAATTAATAACAAACCTGGTGAAAATAATCCCTTAAGAAAAAAGTGACTTCTCATTGTAAGAATTTTCCCAATGTGGGACTAGAAGATAAGAAAACCATTTTACAGTCGAGAACTTGTAGCATTCAAGTTCTCTAGAATGTTTATATTGCACAAATGGCTCATTAAAGGGCCTAAAAAGCATAATTTAGTTGGCTTTGTAATAGCAGCTCCCTGCTGATATTTACAAATGTAACTTTTTAAAACTAAAATTCAATTCTTGAATTTGGGAGAACCTGTGATTCTGATTACAGAGTTGCACCCCACACCCAAGAATTAGAATTAAAATGAAGGGCCCCAAGTCCATACCCAAATCCTTCAATTGAAGCCACTTTGAATTTGTCGCTTGATATTTCTCTCTATGCTGTGTTTTAAGTTTCATGAAGCAATCTGTAGATAATGTCATGGTTTCATGTTCTAAACAACAGCTTTGAATCTATCGTCATACGTTGAATATTAATGAGTTGGTTGCCCTGGCAGCTCTATGCTTTGAGCATCATTAACAAAGCACAAAAGATATGTATCTCATAAACTGTAATGATCTTTCTGGTGGTTCTACTGCGGTTGGCTGATAACAGTGGCAAGTTAAGTGGTTCTATTTTGCGCTTCTTTTTCTTTCGTTCTCTTCTTACTTTTCCTCCAAGGTTTTGAGAATGGCTGCATATATGGGCTATGGGTGCCCTTGTGGAACTATCCAATTCCATGTCTAATTCTTTCTTTATTTGAATGATAGGAACTCTAGTTAAAATTGAAGGTAGGAGCCAAAGAGGCCGGCTAAAATTAACATGGGATGAAGTTATAAGAAAGACCTATACCAAAATTAACTTGGGTTGACGTTATAATAAAGACTAGATATATTAAGAGACATGGTTTATTTATTTATTTTGGTAAGTAAGATTGTATTAGAAAGCGTTCAAATGGGGAACGCATCCAAGGACCAAATAGGTCGAGAACCCAAAGTACGCAAAAAAATCAACTAACTCCCCTTAAGATTTACACAGTGTTGTTAAAGGCGCGCCTAGGCTCGAAGCTCAGGTTTAGCGCCTGTTGTCATCCCAGGCTCACTGATGTTTATTAAGTGCGCACCTCGGTTGTGCGTCGTTCTGTCGCGCCTCACTGATATTTGTTTAAAAAAATACGATTGTTCTATTTCTTAAGCCAAAAATGGTATTTTTGGTAACTTAATAAACAAAAAAAGGAAAGCCCAAGCATACTATAGAAGGAACTTTTGTACAAAAGAATAAAAAAATAAGAAAGCGCAAGAGTCAAAGTGTTTACTGAACAGCAATAGAATGAGATTGTGAGACGAAGACGAAGCCCTAGTTGCATAGATGAACGGCGAAGCCACATCAGTTCTTTCTTTCTTTGTTTTTTTTTTCTCTCTTCTCCTCTAAATCTCCCCTCTTCTTATCTTTGTTTACATCTCTCTCTTCGTCTAGTTCTCTTCTCTCCATGTCTTTTTTTTTTTGGCTCTGTTTTTTCTTTCGTTTTTTTTTTTGGTTAACATATTTATTTCTTTTTGTGCTTTGTTTTGCCATTCAAAAAAACACATTTTGCTTTGCCTATCAAGAAAACAAATCTGTGCTCTGTTTTATGGTTGATGGATTTACTTTTTTATGTTTGATATTAATTTTTAGAATATTGATATGACTTATGAGATATGAATGTTATTATGGTAGTTTAAATTTTCAATTGTGCGCCTCACTTCACTTAGGCACGCGCCTAGCGCCTAGGCTCCAAAGGACCTCTAGCGCCTTGGTGTGCCTTGGGCCTTTAATAACACTAGATTTACAATATTAGCCAAAGAATCAACAAAAAGATAACAAATGATAGAGAATTTCAGAGCCCCAATAGAAGATTCCTCTTCGTCAAAAGATCTTCTATTCCGCTCCCTCGATAAGCACCACTAAACGCATAAGGGTGCCACCTCCAAAAGTCACAAGATTGGGAGCCCACTACACACCCTCTCCAAGCTTCGATCAAGTCTCTTGAGGACCGAGGCATGACCCACTGGACCCTGATCAAACTTAAGATAAGATCCCAGTTGTCCCAGGCCACAAGGCAATGTAACAAAAGATGATCTGTCAATCTTGCACATTCCTTTCCACGGGAAGGCTGGTCTCGAGGAATCTGAAATGCGCCTATATAGAGAGCACGCATCAAACCTCCTCTTGAGAAGAGGGCATCTAGACCATCTGAAAATGTCTTGTAAAGCACACATCCCAAGTCGTCCTTCCGCTATCAATCCGGTAACAATCGGCAACCCAGTCAAGTATATCAAAAGCAATACTGAAAAGCTAGGAACACGCCAGCGGACGATTACCACACCAAGTGTCCTCCCAAAAACAAAAGCCCCTGCCATCCTAGGCCCTGAATTTGATATGTTTCGAAAGATCATCCCACCCCTTATGGATGAATTTCTAAACACCAATACCTCCTTGGATCCTCATCACAAGGGACCACCAAGCACCTCTTTTCTCCCCAAAATGGGTCAAGATGACCCTCCTCCATGGCCTGTGACGCTCAAGACCAAATCTCCACAACTACTTCCTTAGAAGAGCCTTATTAAAAGGCACCAACTACCTATTTCCCAAACCACCGACTTGGAGTGGCCTGCACACTTGCTCCCAACAAACGAGATGATACTTGAACTCCTCTCCCGTACCACCCCATAAGAAATTCCGTTGGAGTCTCTTTATCCTCCTACGCACAAAAGAGGGAAGTTGAAAGAGAGAAGAATTGTGTAGGAAGTCTCAAAAGCGTGCTTTTCATCAGAGTAACCCTCCCACCCTTCAACAGATATTGCCTCTTCCACCTAGCAAGCCTCCTCTCAAACCTTCTCGACCACAAGTCCTAGCTACCAACTTTTCTCGATAGTGAGCCAAGGGTAGTCTCAAATAAGAAATAGGAAAAGAGCCAACTCCACAACCAAGAATGTCATCCATAGAAGAAATACTCAAAACCTCTCTCTCTGGGATCAACGCACTCTTCCCCATATTAACTTTCAGGTCAGAGACTGCCTGGAAGCGTATCAAAATAAACATCAAATATCTTAACTTAGACAAGTCTGCATTACAAAACACCAAGATATCTTCTGGAAACAACAAATAGGAGATCTCCAACCGATGGGCTAAATCCTTGCCCACCCAAAAACCTCTAATAAAACTAGCTCCACTGCCCTCCTCATCAACCCGCTGAGAGCCTCCATCACAATGGTGAACTCATCAACCTGCTGAGAACCTCTGTCGATGAACGAAAAATGGAGAAAGAGGATATCCTTACCTCAAGCCTTGTGAGTTGCTGAAGAAACCAGTCTGGACCCATTCACAATAACCGAGAACCTCAATGAGGAAATCCATAACTCAATCCACCTTCTCCATCTCTCCCTAAACCCCATCCTGTCCAACAAATGAAGCAAGAAACTCCAACTAGCATGATCATAAGCCTTCTTAACATCAAGCTTATAAAGCACCCTTGGAACGCCATTGCTTAGCCTAGAATCCACACACTGACTGGCAATGAGAGCTAAATCAATTTGATGACCACCAACAAAAGTGATTTGGGATTCCGAGATAACTCCATCCAGCACATCCTTCAATCTCAAAGCAAGGACCCTAGCTATTAGTTTGTAAATGTAACCTACCAACTAATAGGTTTGAAATCCCCAACATTGAAAAAGAAGAAGTTTTGGGTTTTGACTTACGCAAACCGAGAGCCAATAGCTATATTTGTATACAAGAATAGGGTACAAAGAAAGGAAACCAAATCAAAGTAAAACGGGAAAATGCCAAAATCTACGTGATCCCATGATTACGGGGATCTTATCTACGTGATCCCATTATAATAGGCTTACATAAAACACCTAATAAAAGGTTGAAAACAGCTAATAAAATAAAAATAATAATAATATAGATATTCCAACACTCCCTTAAGCTGAAGTGAAGATATCAATCAAGCCCAGCTTGGTAATCGAGGAATGAAGTAAAGATGGACCAACGAATTTAGTGAACACTTCTGCCGACTGATTAGAGGACCGAACAAAGCGCGGCTTGATAATTCCCGAACAAACCTTCTCTCAGATAAAATTGTTGTCCGCCCCTATGTGTTTAGTCCTCCATGAAGAACATAATCTGAAGCAAGCATGATGGCTGACCTATTATCACAAAACCAGTCTGAGGACTGTTTTTCACTTAGCCCTAGCTCCTCCAAGAAAGATCGAAGCTAGAGAATCTCATAAGTACCCTGGCCATGGCACGATACTCAAATTTCTGCTAAAGATCTCGAAACTACAGGTTGCTTCTTACTATTCCAGGATATAAAGATGATCTCCATAGAAAGTATAGAAGCCAGATGTGGAACGTCTGTCAGTCTTGGGCCCAGCATAGTCTGCATCACTGAAACAAGATAACCCAACCTACCTACTAGAAAAATAGAATAATCCAAATCCAGGATAGGACTTAAGATAGAATATGATACCGCATCCATATGAGCTGTACGAGGAGCATACATAAACTAACTCACAACACTAACTGCAAAAGCCAAATCAGGACGGGTGTTGGTAAGATAAATCAATCTTCCTACCAAGCGCTGATACTGCGAGGGATTAGAAAGGAGATCTCCAGACTCAGCCGAAATCTTCAGATTAGGATCCATAGGAGTGGAAGCAAGTTTACACCCAAGCATACCCGTTTCTTGAAGAAGATCCAAGACATACTTTCTTTGCGATAAAGAGATACCTTGCTTAGATCTAGCAACTTCAATTCCCAAGAAATATCTGAGCTGCACAAGGTCTTTCACAACGAAAGCTTTAGCCAATTGAAGCTTTATTTGAGCTACTAGGGTTGTCATTGTCAGTATTGATGATATCATCATAAAACATGTATGGTCAGAATGGCATCTAACAAACTGCATGGATAGAATTGCATCACTAAATTGGCTGAACCAAGCTCTGGGAGATTGTTTTTACCCATACAAAGACTTCCGCAATCGACAGACCTTTCCTGCATACTCCCCCTCAGCCCAAACACCGGGTGGAGGATCCATATAAATAGTCTCAAGAAGATCACCGTTAAGGAAGGCATTCTTCACATTAAGCTGATAAAGAGGCAATTCTTCACATCAACGCATTCCATGGGCTACTTTTTAAGAATTTCCTGTGTCGGGTTTTTTTGTATTGTGTCATGTTTGTATTGATGCTACATAGTTCAATTATCGATTATTCATTAGAATATAGTTAGGCTTTATATGTACGTGTATATATATATATATATATATATATATATATATATATGCACAACTCCTAATGGCAATGTACTTGCAATTTGGTTATAACTTTCTTCTGGTCAAGAAGTACGTATTTACGCATAGTCAGTGCTTCTATGTCATTGAATCGGGTTATTTTTTTGGATGTCCAATACAAGAGATCAGTTGTGTATAAACTTAGTTAGATTAATCATTTAAACCATTAGATAATGTTGGAGGAACTTCAATGTCGTTAATCTAAGAATTCTTTCGAAATTATTGAAGGGGAGAAATTATGGGCGGGAAACAAGGTTCTAACACCTCAGCCCGCGCCAAGCCCATATCCCAAGTAACCATTGCATCTCAACCCATGCCATATTGTCCGGGATCACGGGCTTTTCTTGTTTCTCAGGTTGTTCATAATTTTAATAACCTGCTAATAAATGAACATTACTGAAAAAAAAAATTTACTAAAGTATATAACTATATACACTTAACATAAAATAAAAGCCACTCATATCATGTGACAAAAATCAACTAAAGTATGTATAATACAATTTTCTAACTATAATATAATAATATTCCTTCCTATTAGAATTTGAAAAGAACTCAAAATTTTATATTTTTTTTATCTTTTTGTTTATAAATTTATCTTAATTTAAATCCTTACAAATATTTTACTTAATTTTTTTTAAGCAAGTCACAAGTTAGGTTAATGACTACTTATGATGGCATAAATCATCTAATTTTAACCTTATTTTACATAAACAACATATAGCCTTAAAAATATTAACATTTTAAACTTTTCTTGTATTTTAGGTTCTTTGGGCTGCTCGGGTTTGTAAAACCTCCCAAATTCCGTTAAAAATTGGACTCTAAAGTTCAAACCCAATCCAACGTTCAAAAAAAAAAGTTCAAACCCAATCCCAATCCGAATCCCATGATCTCAAATACCTTCCAATGCCCGTAAAATTTTCGGTGGGACTCGGGTTGCTCAGTTTAGGGCCACCCAAGTCTCACCCCCAGGAGAAATATAAAGGATTTTGAAAAGGCCATCACCATTGATGGTCTTTGCCTATGCAGAGTGATGGGAGGGGCTTAGTTGTCAAAGGGGCGCCTTATTTTCAAGAAAACCCCAGGGTCATCAAGTTTCTTCCAAAGCGCCTCAACCTACTACAAGCCTAACTCCTTTAGCTAGGCCTAGGCCATGTAAAGCCCTCAGGTTCACGTTTATTAGCATCACTCCAATCTAAAAAAATGCGCCTCATATTTTTCAATCATTCATTCACATCGTTTTTTTGTCTTTTCAAATGAATATGAATTTACATGCTCTACATCATACCATAAGTCATATTTGATAGATGACATTGTTTTTTCTTATCTATGTTTGATGGAATCCATGAGCTTATGGTGACTACTTACATTAAAGAACTCTTGTGCTTGATTCTTGATTTTCATTGTAATACAATATATTTTTTAAGTTCATGATATATTTTTTTTTTTTGTGTTTTCACATTTTTTTGGCATTTTATTTTGTCAATGCATCTGCAGATCAATAGGATTTATCTGGATTTTTTCTGTACTTTCTATTTCACATGCACCTTACTCCAATCAGGCTCATGCCTCACACTGCGCCTTGCGCTTAGGCTGCAGGAGACCTTTGCGCCTTAGTGCACCTTGAGCCTTTAATTATTATGGGGAGGGGTGCACTAGACCCAACCTTCAGCTTTATTTGTATGAAGTGACTGCTCTTAGAATCAAGGCAGCCTGTATTTATATCACTGCACCAATCAATAACCCTAAAGAATAAGATTTAATGGTTTAAATTCTTGAATCACGCTGATTTTTGCACAACTAGTTCTCCAATTGATGCTCATCCAACTTTTGTCCTTGATCCAATAATGCCTGAAATGGCATAAAACTGTGTTATTTCATGTGACTGCAGGCTTTCTAACTGTAACAAAGATCTTCCTGTTACTTTTGTTTTCTCACATGGGTCACATCTTATGAATCTGGGGAATCTTTGTTTGGCTTTAACGAAATAACACAGGACAACATTGTTGCATTCCATAATTTGCTTCTTCTTGTTAAGAATGTTCTCAATTAATAGACAAAATGGAGCAAAAATGACTTCCTGTATTATGTCTTTGTTTTCTATCATGCTATATTATTGTTTTATTTTAGTTCCTCGGGTTTTCTTTTGTTCAAAGGTCTATGATTTATGTCTCCTCGATATTTGCCAAGAGCTTTTACAAATAAACATATACCTGTTCATGAGGTCTGGATTTCCTCGGGTGGTTCAGCACTTTCCTCATCGTCTGTCTTGATTTGCACTAGTGCATTCCAGTGAATCCAAACAGTACTTCACTTTTAACTTGTTACAGCTGTAATGAAGAATTTATTTATTTTAGTTGTGGCCCTTGCAGCAAAGGGTAATGATATGCCTGTTTGACCAAGACTAAAAGTTTCCATTGTTGTGGATAAGTTAAATGTTTGATCTGTCAGTGTTGCATATTATATCCATTCATTTCAATTGTCCTTAGAAGTGCTTTTGTAATTGACAGATTCATCAGTTGTCTTTTAGTCCTCATACGGATGCCAAAGGAATTATGGATCTCGTCAAATTTCTCTCTCCAAAGCACGTGATACTTGTACATGGCGAAAAGCCTAAGATGGCTTCACTTAAACAGAGAATTAGATCTGAACTGGGAATTCAGTGTTACGATCCTGCAAATAATGACACCGTGTGCATCCCTTCGACTCAGTATGTAAAATCAGAAGCCTCAAGTGCATTAATTAAAAGTTCGTTGACTCCAAATTTCAGGTTCCTAAATAGTTCAGAAGGCAGCTCTGATTTAGGTTGCATGGATGCCAGAGCTATGTCTCCGCTGCAGGTATGCGATGATAGAGTAGCTGAAGGGATTCTAATTATGGAGAAAAACCTGAAAGCAAAGGTTATACACCAGGATGAGCTTCTAGTGGTGTTGGGAGAGCAAAAGCATGAAATTAAGTTTTCATACTGCTGTCCGGTACAGTTGGGCAGCTTTGGAAGGACCAAAAACACAGACCTTCCGTCAACAAACGATGCGATTCCCCTTGCTGACAATCAATCTTGGCTTCATCTTTTATTTGCAAAAGTTTCAAAAGAATTCACTGAAGGGCACATCCAAGATTTTGGGGAATATCTTCAAGTAGAATCATTCCGAGTCTCTGTTTGTTTAAAGGACTACTGCCCTTACAGATCCACTGATAATTTTCAAAATAAATCTGAAGCTGCGTTTTTTTGCTGCACTTGGTCCGTGGCAGATGAGAAGTTTGCTTGGAAAGTCATTGCAATCATGAAGGATTTGGATATAAATACCATTTAGAGGGGCTTTACATTGAGCTTAGACTGGTTTTGGTGATGCAATTTTATGACGTTCAAAAATCATATTTAAGCTACTTGTACAATCCATTGAATTAATCTGCAGTTTATATTTAAGTATGCAGCTATTATGGTGGAAGTCGGAGTTCTTTAAGTTTTAGATTTTTCTTCCTGGGCTTCATATATTTTTAAAAATAATAATAATACAATAAAATAGAGTTGTTTTGGTGGGCATGAAAGGTGATCTTTGAAAGAGTTGTTATCTTTTAAAAGCTACTAAAGGTACTTTGTACAACAAATAGTTCTTGATTTTAAATTTACTGAAAGTGTTCCATCTCCTTGTCAGTGCGTAACCAAAATTTTTCTTGTGTACTGTCAATTAGCTTATGTTCTTCCTTCTGTAGCTTCAGCTGGAGTTAAATTTGACCCAACTTGTTAGCTACAGGGGGTAGGATCTGTGGAGGAAGCCTCTGCAATGCTTTTAAAAGAAAGCTGGATCACGCCCGACACCATTGGTAATTGAGGCTAGCGTATGTCTTTAGTCTCTTAAGTTCCAAATCAGGTCTGATCTCTTTCTTCGTCTTCTTTTTTTATTTATTTTTTATTTTTTAATCTAATAGGAAGCCTCATCTTAAACTTAATACCCATGATACTATCTGCTTAAAGTAAAAATCATGGCAGCAATAACCAGTCCTTTTAGGCGTACAAAGAAGACCATGATAGGAGTGGTGTTCCCTTTGGAACTTTGTAAGCTGTTCGAGTGCATTTTTAGGATGGCATACCTAATCCAGATTGTCTAGTTGCTGTTTTAATAGAACTGAAAATTAAGCACCGACTTAAATTTGAAGTGCTTGTTATAAAAGACACATTTTCAAGTGTTTAATGTTCAATGATAAATGAAGTTCTGCTCACTTGAATTTTGTCCCATTTTATGTGACACTTTGCGCTAAATCGAATAACGGTTTTTATCTTCTTGTCTTAAATCATATTTCGTTATTCACACTCAGAGTGCTCCTGGCATCAAACTTTTATTGTAATTGTTATTATTATTATTTCTTTGGTGGGGGAGGCCTGGAGGGGTTGTGAGGCACACACGCCCACAATTACTGCCATTGTCAGTTTTAGCTGTAATGTTCTCTGAAAAGCTTTCTACAAAGGGAGAGCAGGGTTCCACTTGCCCCAGGCATAATTCGCCCGAACAGACACTGGATTTCCTGCTTAAATACATGTAGGATCTTAATATTAGTAAGACTCCTTGCACTCCTGCATCCAGCATTAATTCGATGAGAGATAAGAGTCAGTACTTAATAATAATATACAGAATAAGAAATGTTTGGGTTGTTGAGAGGATTAAACCGACAGTTGACCTTTCAAAGTAGTCTTTTTTTTCCATATCCAGGTAATACTTGACCGAAGTTACATTGGCCATCGCTCTTCTTTTATTCACACAACATTTTCACAATGTGCTTTTTCCTCTCCCCTGAATTTTGATGTGTGGCTCTAACTAGCTTTTGCTTTTTGCCCTTTTTTACCTGCTTCAGTCTTTTTATGTTTTTGCATTTCCTTCTTTTGTAGCCTCTTTTTCTCGCTTCGCGCAAAGTACACTAAAGTTTGAGAGGCTACTAAAAGCACTCTTCTGCCTCTAGCTCGGGCAAGGCTTAGCGAAAATACATCGTTAAGAAGAGTCAGCCACCATAAACTGGGGTTCCAGCCAACCATCGGTGATTAACTAACCAATGCCAAAACCGGTGCACAAGGAACAGATGATTTTGATGAACTCTTGTGTATCTCTCTTTCCTCTTTACAGAGCTGGTGGTTTGATTTTTGAGCTATGTTAGACATTCAAATGTAGTCCCAGCCAAGCTGCTAATGATAGTTGTGTATCGAACTACAATTATTTCATTGTAAAAATTTGTGATTTGTTTTTCAACAAATTTATTGTTTTACATTAGATCCTTTTTTATTTTATTATTATTATTTTTATTATTTTTGTTTTAGCAATGATGAAAGCAATTGTGGACCTTGTGGTGGTATTGATATGGCGCCAACATGCATGGCGTAATAGGATAACTCAATTACCACGTGGCATCCCTCTCCTTTCTTAATAAAAGTTTGGATTAATTACACTCTGAGGTTTGCTGATGGACTGATGAAATTTTGGCCATTTTCACCGGTCAGTTTTTGACCTTTAAAAAAGAGTGTGAAATGTCTAGATTGCGCCCTTGTTATTTAATTAGTTTTAAATAAATAATAAGGCAAATAACATATATCACCCAGAGGTTTTCAGCTAGTGCACCTAATCTAGTGCACTTATATAGAAGTATGTGCCAATTAACAACAAAGTCAAAATTGATTAGTTGACCTTTGGAGATGAAGGTAAATTTACCTATATGACCTTAATGCACATAACCACTGTTTAAAAGAAAAATCTGAAGGGAGTGGGTGAGTGTAACTTACTATTGTACCCCTCCTCTTATATTCCTCTCATTTTTTATGATTTATTTGTCATTTTAAGTTTTAATAAATCACCACCCTAGATCATGTTTATTTGTTTATTTATCACATTTCAATTGATCATTTAAGGTTTACATCTAAAAAAAACTAATATTATCTCCATACTTTTGTTCTTTTGGAATGATGTAATTTCAATTCAATTAATGGACAATTTGGTCTTCTCACAATAGCAAGGTTATTTTTGTCTAAAAATATAGTTATCATACACTAATTTGATCCATCACTCAAGAATGGTGGTTATGTATTAGGTCAATGAAACCACAAGATGGTTGACCAATATATGGCGCATACTTCTATCATGATGCATGAAATGAAAACTTTGTGGGTGCGATCAGTAATGTGTCCTAAATTATATCTAATAAGCTAAATTACTTAAATACCCATCATCATTACAAAAATTTGCTTTAAAGAATCTTCCCAAATACAAGCTCTTCTCTCTCTTCCCAGTTCCAAACCCAGCAAAACTCAACAAAAAAACATGGCAGTGCACCCACTAGTCACCACCCTCACTCAGCACCCGGTCCAACCCCACCTATCTCTAAGGCCGAATCAAAACCCAGGCACCACCCACACTCGCCAGCCGGCCAACCCCACTATCTCAAGTCCAAATCAACCTCTCTGTTTTTTTATTTGAAAAGGCAAATCAAATCCATAATGCTTTCTATTTGGTAGATATTACTGTATATATTTATATGAACCCAAGCCCATTTTGCAATTTTTTTTTTTTTTTTTAAAGGCAAATCAAACCCATTTTGCTTTCTATGGGTATATATAACTATATATAAATATTTATATATATACATACATAAACCCAAACCCATTTGCGTTATTTTTATTTTTTTTTTGTGAAAAAAAAAGGCAAATCAAACCCATTTTGCTTTTTATGTGGTACATATAACTATATATATTTTTATATATATAGTTATAAACCCAAACTCATTTTGCAGGAAATGGACAGCGAGGAAGAAGAATCCAACATAGGGTCGATTTCTCGCGGTGACTCGTCAATGAGGTCCTGTCCAGCGACTAACAACGGCAATGGCACTACGGTGACGTGATTCCTACATCTACGAGGGGGCAATGATTTGCATTTGGTGTGACCCATCGACTCTGATTGATTGAGCAACGACCAATTGTTTTTAGGTCGATTTCGAACCCTAGGGTTCATGGAATTTTGTGAAGGAATTTAGAATTATTTATGGCTTTGTGGAAGAAGGGGGGCGGTGGTGGTAGAGGTTGTCGGTGATTTTATGTGTGAAATTTGTATACATATCTATATATGTGTGTGTGTGTGTGTGTGTGTGTGTACTATATCTGTCCCATTTTAAATGTCTTCTTTGGGAAGTGTGACTCACAATTTTGTCACAATTCTGTGAGTCACATTTCCCAAAGAGGACATTTAAAATGGGACAGGGGGAGTATGATATATATGTATATATATTTTGTGGTGATAGACTGATGGTGGTGACGGCGGCTGGTGTTATACCCCAGATTTTTTTTTTTTGGTATTTTATTTTAGTTATTTTTTGTACATCATTTTGGGCATCATGCGAGTCCCATTAATTTATTTGAGCATTGCAGTGGATTTTTTTCTATTGGAGATTGGAACATTTTAACCTACTACGCCGAGATATCATCTCAGATGAGCGGATCTACTCTTAAGGGCAATGTATCCACACGCCTCAGCTAAGTCCTTCATATATTTTATTTTCCTACTCTTTGTTATTTCCCAAAACATAGCCGTACTCTATATTTCTCTTGATATTCATTCCATTATTTCCAACAATCTTAAGAATAGATATTAAAAATGAGTATTGTGTTAACCATCACCCGACTTATCCCAGACACTTCTAAGATTGACTCTTTCAATGGGTCTTTCTATAAACATTGGGTAGAAAGAGTTTATTCTGCACTAGACATAATTAACGTTGTTGAATTTTTAACCAAACCCGAACCTGTTACGGGTACTGATAAAAAAGAAGTAGATAAAAGAGAAAAGGGAAATAAAATTTGCAAACATACTTTATTGAATACCATGTCCAATGAACTTTTTGATATTTACTATTCTTATAAAACAACATGTGGAATTTGAGTAAACCTAAATAAAAATATGTTGTCAAAGATGCTGGAACCCAACATTATGCCATAAGTAATTTCCTAAGTTTTGTAATGATTGAGGATAGAGATGTTTCATCTCAAATCCTTGATTACCACAAACTTGTTAGTAGCCTAAAACATGAAGATATAGACTTACCAGAGCCATTTATTTCTACATGCCTAATTGAAATTATGACGTTCTATATTTTTCTGTATTTTTTATTTTTGTATTTATTTTTCCCAAGTCCTCGTTTTGCGTTTCGGGCACCGTTTAGGGTGCTGTGTGGATTCTGAAGTTCATTAGGGCATTTCTTTGAGTTTAAAACTCTTAAAAATTCATTACGAGCCATTTTGGCATTTTTCAAATTTCTCGTCCAAGAGGTCCCGTGTGGGCCCCACGCTCGAATTTTTCATGCTTAGGTAATCTTTTTGGATCCATGTGCATTTAATATTTATTATTTAGTGCATATCTATATGGGCATGTGTTCAAATGTGCAATTTGGCATTGTTATAATGTGTATATGTATAAAAAGGCCTTTTTTTTTTTTTTTATACCAACAGCCCAGTGGCCTAGCTGTACCGGGATCCTACTTTCCAAAGGGAGATCAAGGATTCAACCTTCGGTAGAGGCATGTGTTTTTGAGTACCAACTAAGAAAATAAAATGGCATTTTAGACATTTTAAGGGTCAAAGTAGGGCCTAGGGTTGACCAAGACACGTGACTTAAGGGGTGAACTTCATTTTTTTCTGCATCCTTTCCCATCTTCCAGCCATGGCCAGCCTTCTCTATCTATGTTACTTTCTCTCTCTACAAACATACTTTTTACATACTTTAGGCTTAGATTTCACCATTTTCTTCTTAGAATTGATCTTTGCCATATAAGACAAAGTTGTAGAGCTCGATAAGAATTTCAATTTGATTGGAGCAAAGTTTCATTTGGTGGGCATTAAGATTTTTGAATTTTGGGGCTTTTGCATCATTTGAAGGTAGAGTTGTCTGATTGTTAATTTCTTTTAGTTTTGTAAGTGATTTCATGTTTTTCCTTCTTTGAAGCATGCTAATTTTGTTGGTAGTAAGTTAATTGATACCTGGGTTTTATACATGTGATGTATTTGCTAATTGTTGAGCTATATGTGATTGCATGGGTGCTTTGTGTATAATTGCAAGTAATATGCTATTCAATGTGCTATTTGTTGGGTTATAGATGTTAATTGATGAACCCTAGGACTAATGTATGCTAGAATGATGTAAAGATGTGATAATAACATGTTACCTATTTAGATTATCATAAAATGATGTATGCTTATCAATTGAAGATCATAGCAAGCATGAATTTTCTATAGCATTGAGAAATTGTTATTAAGAGATGAATGGTTTACATATGGTGCATTTCATACATATAATATTGATGACATTTTGCAGTGTGTAGAGGCATGTGTGTGGAATGTGGAGGAGATGGAGTGTGAATTTGATAAGTTTTGGAGCAAAGGTTTTCTCAAACCCAGTAGTTGGGGAACTACCCCTTTGGCAGTGGTGCTAGCTAGTTAATAGGGACACAGGAGATACCCGTGAGTAATTTAGCGACTCGGGTCCTAAATGGTAATTGGGAGTTACCCTTTGCCAGGGACGATTGGCAAAGTCTCCCTAGGTACTACGGAGCTACCAAGGTCCGGCTAGCTAGCACGTTTTCGGTGTGTGTATGTGTGGATATGCGAGGGTGTGTGTGTAGTATGTGGTTGCATAGTGCATTCCATGCAATGCATTGCATGTGGTTGAAGATAATGGTTACTTGTCGATGAAAATGGTGTTTATGAGACCCTAGCATAATCCCTATATCCTATCTCTATTCTTTATGTGTAAAGCATGTCATTGGTTACTTTGCTTGAGGATATGCTGTGAGTTGTACGCAGCGGAATATTTAGAAAGTTTTATATTTTTAGAAATAGATCTTGTGTCTTTCCAATTTTACTTATTTTAGCAATTAAATAATTAATCACATACAGATAAAATAAATCAAAGTAAAAAGTTAGAGATGACACCAGGATTTTTAACGAGGAAACCCTAGTTGATAAAATACGTTAACTGTTTGAGCGAGAAATACCTCGTGGACTGTGCAGTCCAAAGTAAACCGATATACTATGTTTGAAGCAAAGTATACTGAACTTTAACTCTGGCTCACACCATATCATTCTACCAAATACCAATAGCTGACAATCATCTGGCTTTGCAACGTCCTGTCCAACAGTAACTTGACCTCAGGCTTATGCTTGATCTTTGTAGTAGAGTAGCAGGTAGATCAAACAACACTCTACGAATGCTTTGACCCTTTCAAAGTATGATCACTTTTACTTCTGTTCTTCAATATCTGAATTTG